AATGTTTTACACTGTGAACTCCAACCTATGTCTCTTGAGTCTTATTAATCAATCAGATTTCTCACTTAATGCATACCATTTTAATATGGCTGTTATGTGCCTGCTGTTTTGGGAATTAACTCAGGACATACCATGTTTTGTACTTATTCATATCATGTTGAACTATATACTTTACTAGCTTGATTCAGGTTTCCTCTTATAGTACTTTGGACTATACAGTCTAATTTAAATTAAATAATTACATAATGGTGATGACAGCTGAAAAGTGTGGCCAACTCAGGCACCTTACAGGAATTTGCATTGCAGAATTCACAAAACTCTCCATAAATCCCAATCTGTTTACATAGTTTTATCACTCTTCTAAAATCCTACAAAAAAAATGTTGCAGACACTCATACAGCAATTGCCAAACCCTTGCACTCAAACAGGAGTCCATATTATCTATAAGCTATAATAGCTCGTTATTTTTCGTCACACTTCATTTTACTGCTGATGGGATCTCACCGCTATCTCTAATTGGATTCAATTCACATTCTATTGCAATAGATTATGACATCATACTATACTAGTTAGTGGTATTCATAGCAAGGCCATTGTACCATGACAGTAGACAAGCTCTACAGTTCTGCCATTGGATTCTGATCTTAATCCTTCACTTACCAATGGACTTTGAAAAACCATTTGTCAGTAATATTCTAGGAATTTGTTTAAATGAGCAATTAACGATAACTAAGTCAAGGGGGTGAGTGGGATTTTTGCCACTTACTTTATCTACTCATAAATTGTAAAAATTGTGACTGTATATCAGCATATCCAAACTGTATATATTTGATTGTATTCCTCTCCCCACACCCTTTGTACTTTGCCTCTTTTCTCAGGCTCCCTACAGGTGGACCCTTGTATCCATTATATGAAGTAAATGGATTTTTGTGCAGGCTCATGGGTGGTGGATCTTACTGCAATATCTGGGCCTTAGGTTATAAGCTCTTCTGGGAAGGAACAATGAATGAAATCCTGACTTCACTGGAACTAAAGGGAGTTTAGCCATTGGCTAGAGCTAGTCTGATTTCCCCTCTTTCCCATGGAAATTTCCTTTTTTCCTCAAAATTTTCCACTCAGTTTTTTAAATTTTCACCAACAACTCAAAACCCAAAATTATTCCAGTTTTTGGCCAAAATCTTTTGATAAAAACTGCAATTTTCCACAGAAAGAAGATACTTTTTTGCAAAAGATTTTGTTTAGTCAAAATTCAGTTTTCAAAAGAGGGCTTTTCCAGGACTGCATGGGGTATAAATACCACCACCTCTGTCCTCTTCCAATCAGCAGGAAGGGTAGTGCCCACTCCAGCACCACCAGCTTGTTCCAGCTGCTTCCTACTCTTCTTTCCTCCATCCCCGTACATTTTCCCTCTCCTTCCCCTGTACTATCCAATTGTAAGAGGATTCACCAAAGGGGCAACAATCCCTTTTTTTCTAGCCAGTCGGACAAGGAACCACCACAAAGAGCTTCAGTGAATACAGTTTATATGGAAAATTTTCAGCTTTCCTTATCACTGACTTAAATAGGGCTAGGATTTCACGCAATATCTTTGTATTTATCTGTAAAGCACCCTGGGGTACCAATTCTGATGATAGGGGCCACTGTGTGTTATAATAATAACAATAATAATAAATAACAGCAGC